CTTGTTATCATTTTGACCTTATTACGACAGCATATTGAAATCAGATTTGATGTTTTAACATGATTAAAGACTCGAGTGAATATTATTTCATTACGCAAAATTGGACCTTGATAAACGTAATATATTTTTTAAATTCGATATTACCACTTCAGTTCAGAAAGTTAATCAAAATAAATCATTTCATAACAGTTGGTGTTTGCCCAATTTCGTATATCCATTAGTAATTCTATTGGTAAAATACAGGAAACTGTGAATCGGCCAGAATTTCAAGTTTTCCTTCTTCCTAATATATAACTTTCATTATTGTTTATCGACATACTAAATGTGCGTTAAATAAGATTAGATGGTCTGTTTTATATTCATTAAAAGACATTAAATATAGCTAAAGTTAAGTGCTGGTATTTTATACACTAGTTAAGTATAATTGTCCAATTGTGTTGATTTTTCATTACAAAATTATAATTATCAATTTGGCAGTTTTCTTAAAAAACAATATATCTCAAGTTTTCACAAACCGAAATCAATCTTTTGCCAATTTTGTGAAATTTTTTTGTATTCTTGTAGTTAACAAAATCAATAATAACAACATTAGTGATACATTTTTCGACGCACTATAGCAAAAAAAAATTGTACTATCTGCTGAAATGAATCTACTCTGGTACAATTTTCTAATTAAGAAGATTTTTTTTGCAAAGTGGATACCAATTATTTTACTGTAAAGGTCTGTAAATGAATTTTTCCAAACAAAAATCATTCTATATTTAACATATCTTTGAATCCATCGGAAATTATGTGATTATGGCAGCATTTGTTTTCTAAATCGGATTAATTTATTATTAATGTGTGGTGTTTAGTGATCGTTAGCCAATGATTATTTGGTGATCGTGAGATGTGGTCTGGTGTGACGTAGGTTTTAGAAAAACATTTTCTTTATCGTGCCAACGTTTCGATCTTTATTGAGATCATCTTCAGGGCTCAAAGTGTTTGTTTTCTGGTAGATGTGACATTCTTGTTTGTCGTGTTGAGAGTGCCCGGCACTCACACAGAACGGCCACCTCCTCACTACAGTATCACTATGCAAGTGATTAACTTCGAACATGGGCGAAATATGATATTTTTTCGAACAGGAAGTCACTAGATACGAGAACGAGGTTTTATTTATAGATATTATATGGCAAATTTGTGGGGTTTTGGTGCATATAATACTGCATATTCGAAGTTTAATTAATGCATAATATTATTAAATGCGGGCTCCACTCATAATTTTATTCTTTAAGAATTGCTGTTTAATTTGTATTTGCAGTATCAAACTTGCATTTTGGGCTAATAGGTGTGTATATTGCTTAAGATTTTTTTATTCCGGATGATTTGTAGAATTTGTGAACATTGAAAGGCAAAATTTAGAAAGATTAATACGCAATTGTGCGTACGTTATTTAGAATGGGCGAATGTGTTTAATCCGACGTCAATTGAAATTATTGTATTTTTTTTATACGCCCTTATTGCTGTAGATTAGGGCTGTAAAACTTGGTGAAAACACGTACGCAGCATACATTTCCGGTCTGTCACTTTAGCAAACCATTGAAAGGAAATGAGTTGAAACACTTTCGAAATATGACCACAATCGTCATTGATTGACAGGCGATTAGAACATAATTTGAATAATCAACAAAGCGTACTCGAATTGGAATCCACTTGGCAATGCTGGTATGTCGACAATTTCATTTACGGCTGATAATTGCTATCGGTCGTTCATTCAACTTTTTACATATTTAAAAAATACGTGTTTACATACCAAACTACTCCATTTACAAAATTCCTGAGAACACTGAATCGTCACTAATATTCCTGACGGGAAAAATCAAATTTTCTCTTCATCAAGATTCGAGTAATTATGGATCTTTTTTTTATTGTCATGCTGCTGAAACCACACTGAAATATTTAGAGGTTATTCAGAATAGAAACATTATAGAATGCGCAAGTACGTCTGTGACTGCTATGCAGTTAGAATGCAATGGGCAAGATCTGGATGTCGTAAGATATTGGTCACAAATTCGTTACCAAGGCCGCAGCAGAAGAACACACAAAACAATGGTATCATAAATGTTAATGTGCTAATAAAGTAGACATAAGAAACTATCTAGACTGCATAAGTACGTATGTAACAGCTGTGCTGTTAGAATGCAGTGAGCAAGCTATGGATGGCATAAGATATTGGTCGACAAATTCTTTACAAAGAACACACGCAAAAAAATGGTATCATAAATGTTAATGTGCTAATAAAGTAGACATAAGAAATTATCTAGACTGCATAAGTAAGTATGTAACTGCTATGCTGTTAGAATGCAATGAGCAAGCTATGGATGTCATAAGATATTGGTCGACAAATTCTTTACAAAGAACACACACAAAACGGTATCGTAACTGTACGAGTGCTAATTGATATTTATTTTCTACACTTGAAGAAAGCATTGAATACAAATTCTCTAGTTTTCGTGGTCCGCTTGACCAATTAATATCTTTAATTTAATTAAGGTTTTTATTTGAAATTTTAAAAAAATGGCGAAAGGAGGGAAAACTCAAAATGTGGGGTTGAGATGGGAAGTTGGTGTCCGAATGGATCGAAGTCACGATAGCTCAAGTGGTAGAGCAGCGGCGTATCTAGCCGAAGGTCGTGGGTTCGAATCCCGCTCGTGACACTGACTTTTTTATCTCAACTAAAAACCTTAATTAATTGAGTACAAATATTTTTGAAAAACATTTTCTTCAAATTGTTCTCCTGTTAATTGCCTACGATTTTTTTCCTCAAAATCACAAAAATAATGGTAACGTTGATAGGATTCGACTGAACTTCAGAAAACTTGACAGAGATTTAGAACCCTATAAGCTACATGCTAATAGCATAAATTTTGTATCTGTAAATAAATTTTCGATCCAAAGAAATTTGGAAATATATAATAAAACAGCTGACGAGTTTTTGTGGATTTCATAAGTATTTTACTCATAGCTTAAAATCGAAAGTATAGTTGAAAAAGATTGTTTTCAACGTAGATTGTTGCATTGTTGTTACATAATTCCACCATTGGAGCGATTATGGATTGTGGATCAATTTTTTTATGGTCAAGCTGCTAAAGCCACACTGAAATATTTAGAGTTATTCAGAATAAAAGCATCATAAGTTCGCCTGTGACTGCTATGCTGTTAGAATGCATTAAGCAAGTTCTGGACGTCATAATATGTTGGTCACAAATTCGTGACCAAGGCCGCAGCAGAAGAACACCCCAAAAAATAGTATCATAATGGTAATGTGCTAATAAAGTAGACATAAGAAACTCTCACCGCTGACAACAGCCTGCCTATATGTACGTCAATATATCCAATATATTAGTGTAAAAATACATCAGTTATAAGATATTAGAGATGGCAACCCCAGTGTAGTTAATGTTATTATGCAGGAAATCATAATGTCATGATGATGAAATGAGACTAGGTGGTGGGATTTATGTTCCCCTCGCACTGCTGCCTTCTGACTTATTGTGCTTTTCAAGTTCCTTAGTTCAGTCTGTCGATTCTATCCTTCTTTTAAGAAGTACGTTGTTACAATTCCGTTCCTTGGGTTTTCTTTGTATCCCAGTTTACATCTCCATTGAGCTGTTGCTTCACATCATTGAATATGCCCATGTTGTTTAGATGTTTCCTCAGATGCCAGTGACTAATAATAATCCTATCACCGAAAAAGTTATCAATTAGACAGTCTATAGTTGGACTCCGGTGACTGAATCGAAGAAAAGCCTTTAGACTAAGAATAGATTATACCAAGCTGAGTAACAGACCCTTGGGACAAAGTCCGCATATGTGTCAGGCGTAAAAGTTTAACTTTATTGAAAGGTTTCGTTCTTCCCATTTTCAGAGCGTGTAGGAATGCCACTCGATATGAGAATTGTGCATGAGCAGTCAGTTTTTTGGTCCCGTGTTTCGATTTTTGGAGGGATTATTGATATATCGTTTTGTGTTTCTTTGTGTGATGAGATTGAGTAGTGTGGTAGGTCTGATGGTGGCATATTGAATACACCATCGAGATTAGTCATATAGTGCGTGTAAGATTAATAGAGAAATAATGGATAACTCTACCACCCTACTTGAATTGAAAGCCCCTGAAGGCTAACTTCAGCAGTGGGTCGGATAGAACCGAGGTCTTCCCCTGACCGCCAAAACACCGGAGGTTGAGCTTATGGGTGAGTCATAACTCTGTATATATATATACATATATATATATTCATCAATTTATTTTCTTACCTGAAGCGTCTAACGAAAATTTGCAGTTGTATTTGAAATAATCATTTTCAAAAAGATTAAGATGATGTTAATAGAATCCAGTAGAGTATGCTTTAATGATTTATAAAAAAACAAGTTCAAACAACTTAATTCAACAATCAAACAATTTAATAATTATCATAGTAAGTTTAAATGGTGTTGGTATTACACTGTTTTTCATATTACAGAGTTATTGTTTTTATTATTTCATTACAATAAATAAATAATTACATCACTTGTCAAAATTTATAAATTATTGAACCTATAGACAAATAGATAATTGTTCAATTAATAATCTACGTTTTTTTATCTAGGAGTTAAAGTAATCAATCGTGTTGGAAATAATTATATTCAAATTGAAAAGATTTTATTGGAATAAAATGTCGTACATTAGTGATGAAAAAATAATAATGTCCAATAAAATTTAAAAAATAATATTAATCATTATTTATATTGCTTTTTATATTGTATAGTCAAATTTTCTCATTATGGCAATAAATACATTTTTTGATCGATTTTCCGAATTGATAAATGGTGTAGCTCGAAATTTCAACAATGAGCAACGTGTTAAATAAATACATAAAATATTGATCCTATATTTAAATTAGTGAATAAATTCGTTTTTATGAATGTTAGATTCGTTGAAATTTACAATCAGATTTCGTATTTGTTGGACGATTTTTTTCATTATTAAATAGTCAATGTTTTCCTGTCTCGATTAAGAGCACCAGCCGTCTTTTTTGAATGAGAAATACAAAACGCCACCTATGACGGCCAGGCCTATCAGAACCCCGAAGACAATGCCGACGATGCTCCCGGTCGAGAGTCCTTCCGAATTCATAGGTGCGGGGGTGGGCGCAGGTTCGATCGTGGGCGTGACCGAGCTGTTTGTCGTACTTGCCGTCGATCCGGTACCAGGAGTGCCGGTGGAAGACCCCGAAGAAGTAGTCGTCGGAAGGGTGGTCGGTAACTGGGTCGGAGGTGACGGTTGTGACACAAGGCCTTTTTGAATGTCGTACATGGTGCTTTCGATAAATTTCTGCTTGTTGTGTACCATAACCTGAGCCGAGTCGACTGCCTTCAAAACTTCTTTACTGGCCTTTTTGTGCTTTTCCGTGAATTTTTTCAACTGAAAAACATTATCAAAACATAAAATCACAAATGGCATCAACATCCCTAACCTGTAGATTAGGTCAATCTATTTTCTGGGTCTTTTTGTTTTCCTAATTAACTTCCGTTCATACGAGTTTCGGCTTCACACCATTTTTAGTGAAGAGTAACGTATATTGATAATAAAAAAAACTCTAATTACTAAGCTTATTGATGAGTATCATCAATTCAATGAGGTTCAATCCAATCGTTTGAAAATGTATTGTCGATTACAAGGAAAACATGGAACATGTGAAAATTGAAAATCCCAAAATCCCTTGCCCTTTCAACTTGAAATATAGTGGATTCTATCCCGTTTCTATCCAAGTTAGAGTATAATCCAAAATCTAGCTGACACAACTACATATTATGATTAAAGTATCAAACTCCAACCTGTGTCCATTATTTTTTAATTTTAAACTTTTGTAGTGATTGTCTCTCAGCATTATCTAGAAGTTTTTTAAAATTAATTATACTTTTCTTCTTAGGTCTTGGTTGAGATGAAAAAAATCGGTCTCTGGAACCACCAACATTCGGCTACTTCATAGTCGCCGAGAAGTGAATCCTGATTACGCGATATTTGAAAATATGACAAAAAGAGTAAAGATTCAAAAGGTGTAGATTGAGAGAGATTATTGTTGGTATCCAGGAGTCTCTCTCTCTCTCTCTCTCTCTCTCTCTCTCTCTCTCTCTCTCTCTCTCTCTCTTTTTGTGTGTGTTGATGTGTTTTAATAACTTTATTGTGTGTGACATGGACTAACTTGAATAACTCAATTTTTAATAATATCAAAATCAAAAAAAGTGATGGAAATAAAATCTATCATTAATCAATTAAACTGCGCAATTTTTTTTTTTATAAAATTGCTGTGGATCACATTAACAATGAAAGACGTTTTCTACAAATTCTTTTTTCTCGATTATATATTGTACAATACAAATAATTTTTATACGTACCAAATCAGCATGATATGTTGTAGAAAGATATGGCGCGATGTCCAATAACAATTCGGCTTTCTTCGCAGGCCTTCAACAAATTATGGTTTAGTGTTCTGTGTGATTCAATTATGTAATTTTTTACGTTGAAACTTACTTCAGTTTTGAAATGAGTTCGCATCTATCGAGCAGGAAGTACAGCGCTTGGTTGATGTGGGAGGCTTTGGTGTATAAGGTTTTGTATGCCAAGGAGACCTTTGACAGTGGAAACTCGTTTTTGTCAAGCAATACCGTTGTGAGATACCTAAAAACAGTTCGGAAATGCATTAAACGAATTAGAAAGAAAGGTTCATCCGGTTACTTTTTGATGGGCACACTGCTGTCGCCAATCGGGACGGGGCAGGCCAAGACGTCCAAGTGGTCGTCCAAAACCTCGTCTCTGAGATCTGGCGAAAAAAGCTGCTGATAAAACTTCAACCATTCGTCTTCTGTTACGGTTTCTCGCAAGCCGGCGCACAGCAAATTCGGCCTCATGTCATTTGAGAGTCTGCAAGTTAAAAAAAAAAAGTTTTCCAGCAAACTGAAAATTTATGAAGGATCGTACATTTGGAATGTATTGTTGTTGATCATCTTTTTGTAAAGTTCGACCGTGGCCGACCTGCACGGTTCATATCCAAAATAGCATAGTGCACTGACCACCTCCCTCCTCAACGAACTGTCTTCTTTATTTGCATCAAGTCCTGTAAGACCCAATTTATTGTAAATGCCCACTAAACGATTAACGACGTAAATCTGCAAAAAGCCCTCTAATTAATAACTCTCAATAGAAGGAAATACTAAGGATACTAAGGAAAGTAAACGACCTCAAAATCAGATTTTAAATTTATGAAGTCTGGGACTACAGATTTGTCTTTGGTGAAGTAAATCCAGGAATAGAGATCTTTGAATCCTTCTATAGCAACAACCCAAGGGGCAAGGGCCACTTCTTTGTCCAAGTAGGTGAGGAAATGCAGGACTGTCGTGTAATTGGCCTTTCCCACCTTTGCCAGCCAAAAAGCATCGCTGACAAGTTTTGCTCTCGTACTCGGTGTCAAACTGTTCACGTTATTAGTCAACGACATTCCCAAAGAGGTCCAAGTGTCGTCGTTGTAATTGCTCAGAAAGGGAGCTGAAAAAAAAGACCGGTTAACTTCTAGAATATATTTAAAGGTGGGAGGGGGGAGACAAACATTTCCCATCGACGTTTATGGCAACCCATTCGTCGTAGGGGATGGCCTCGTTGAACACTATTGAATCTGCATGACCGAGGAACCAAATCGGGCCAGGGCGGTTTGGATTGTAATGTGGTCTTTTTTGCGTGACGTAGGACACTGGGAATATCCAATTTGACGGTACGTTCTCCGACACCTATAACATTGAAAACATTTAATTAAATTTATTCTTAACCCTCGGCTACGGTTCACTCCTGCCTCGACCAAACTATTTTCCAAATCACTTCCTTCCTTTGGTTTTAGATACTTCATCCCTTCAGTCCGAACCTGCATAACAACCTTGTACCTTGGTACTTTTTGCTTCTTTTAATACAGATGTTTGAAATATTTCATTACCTGCGTTAATTTCACACTGTAATTTTCTCTAGTCATTGAAACCAGGGGCACATTCGTCTCAAAGATCCAAGAGTGCAAGAAACCGTCCATCGAAACTGGCAAGGACTTCAGGTGGGTTGTCAATGTCGTGAATAGATTGTATTCGGTTATTCCTAGTCCATATTTGCTGAAAAAATTCATGTAAACTTATTATTTCAATAACCTCTTAAAAGAATATTTCTTGAACATATTTGAGAATTAGCCTAGCACAGCATGTCGTAAATATTTACAAGCTGTGCTATAAAATGAAAAAATTAACTGTAAAAACCATTCTTACTAATTATCCATAAAATCCACAAACACAGATACTAAATCATTTTCTGTAATTAGCGATTCTAGCATGGAAAGAACAGAAGCTCCTAAAACAAAAAAATAATGGTTTTGTTTATTATATATTATTATAGTTTTTAAATGTTAATTAAAAAACCATCAGAGTTAAGAAGAATCGGAAATAAATACACTAAATTCCTTCGTCCAGCTTTCGAGGAATCCTTTTATCATGACTTTAAAGCTATAATTATACATGTATTTACAGTCCAGATAAAGGAAATTTAACCAAGAAAGATCTACGAATGAAATTAGAGTTTTTTTTCCAATTGCCCTCAATTATAGGTGTTTCTGATTTGAGAATCTTCGGTCCGTCTATATCCGCTTCTCTGAAGTCTTTAGGTGCAATTGTTCATTTACCTTTAACTTTTGACGATCCTGTGACATAATCTTCCAATTCTTCTGTGGTATTGAATGAATCTGATAAGGCGATGGGGCTGGTGGTTGAATTCATAGGATCTGTGAGCGTTTTAAGATGTACATCGAGTAGCATATACTCGTCCATATCACCCCAATTCAAGTTCTAACAAGCAAAAATTATTAAATTTATATTTTTTCTTTTATGGTTTTTTTCATGTTTCGACTACTTACATTATTAAACGCTAAAAATCTGAGGTAATATGACAAAGAACTTGAGAGCCAATTAGATTCCCATCTGAAAGGAGAGACGACGCTTCCGAAATATACCCGAAGAAAGGCTTCCAACACGGTCAAAGCTGCTTCACGTTTCATTTCTGTAGTCGATTGATAATTGTCGAACTGTACCAGATCTTTACTGCAAAAAAGACAGTCATGGAAATTTCAATGGCGAATCGTCATTGCATGTCACCAACCTCAACACGACGACACCGTATCCGGAGAAGAATTTTTCTTTGAAGTTTCTCACAACGAGCACGTCCAGTTTTTCCATCCCGGCCTTGTTCCACAGTTCACGAAGCAAAGGTGAATCGGCAATGTGAACTATCTCGTTAAAGAATTGCATTTTCGTAAACTGCGGGTACAAGTAAAAACCGACGTCGCCCCAGGGCAAGCTCGCATACTTTGTGAACTCTGTCTGTGATGTTAACAGAAAAAAACTGTGGGGCGGAATGTTGGGTGTCGATTTGAAGACGTAACGAGTCATCCTGGAACAAAAATTACATTTAACGAGTCCTGTACCTTGAAGGAAATTTTCAGATAAACGAACCCCTCAGGCGTACTAGTCGAACTCTCCAGCGGCATGTTGGAAACGACATAGTTGTTCGTAGTCATAAACACAAGAGAAAACTGCGCTTTTTTATCCGGGCTGTCGAAGCATGGGAAGACTCGCCGGGCGTAAAACGGATGGAAATTCGTCATGAAACTTCTAAGAGAGATATGATATGAAAAACATAAATTTCTTCGTTTACTTACTTTCCGTCGTCCAGACTGAATAAGCCGCGGCCATCATTTGACGCTTTACCAAAAAAAGAAATCTTCAGCTCGTAAAAGCTGCTTTTTTGCAAAGGGTGACCCAGCTGAAAAGTAACTGTGCGCAGTGTGGTATTCGTTGAAAATAGAGTAAGAAACTCTTCTTTTTCATTGTGGTCCTTCAGGTGAGCGTTGACGAGTTCGAGTCCATCATTGTTAAGGACTAGTTTGTTATCTCTTAGCGTAGCTGACTGAAAACATTATTTAAGAAATCAGAAAAATTTTATTAATTATTTAGGAACGATTCTTAACAATAAACATAACGCAACATAATAAATATTATGTTAACAATATCGAAATTATTTTGCCTCCGATCTACCAAGGGCAAGAAAGCCTTGTATTCTTGCGGCATGTTGAGAAATTCTTGTCGTCCAAAATCAAAATTTCCACTCGCATTTTGCTTTCAGACGCAAAATTTCTGAACAAATTTGGTTACGAGTCCGCCTGTCTGTGGTCAATTCAACCGGCAATCCGAAACCATAAAACCAATTCCTATGAAATTTTCAGAGATCGTGCGGGTTGGTTTGTATGACATGCACATGGGCAAACGTAAAAACGCGTGCACAGCTAGAACTCCAAAACCATTTTTCGGATTCTTATGAAATTTTCAGGGATTATATACAGTGCTTTCTAGATGATCCCCTCTGAATTTTATAACAATCGTATTGATGATCCCTACGAGTTTTATTCCAAACGGATTAACATATTAACGGTCTTGCTTGTGCACAAAATGTAAGGAGCTTACTTCTCACCCTGGCTGATAGACCGCTGCTCAAGCGTGTCCTTTGAATTTTTAGCAGACCAATAGTACGTGTTTAATTGTGATAATATCATGTAAAACACAAGGGGGAGGTTCGTGTGCCATTAAATATCCTTTCGTGTGTGCCCAATTCTAAGCATTGCGAGTACTCCTCTTTTCTTGAGGATGGTGGTGTTATTATGTGATGCCAACTCAATTTCTCCTGGATTATTTTCCGGATTATGGATTATTTTAACAATTCATGTTGCTATTTTTCTTATTTTTCTTTCAAACAAAAAAATCGTCGTACAATTCCTAATTTATTTTGTGACCCTCTCTGTGGCTATTTTCGTTGGAAATTTGTTGGATTGTACATCTGATAGGTGGGATTCTCCTCTCATTTTGAAAACGATATGTATTGAGTCACATACTTATTCAACAAATATAATTTGTAATTAGTCCAATACATATGTTATCTAAGAGTATCTGATGCTTTATTACCTTTTTTTAATAAGATTTCTCATTGTTTCAAAACCTGAATGGAATTTCCATTGATAAGGCAAGAATTCTTCTGTGAAATGAAAGAATCGTTTTGAAATATGTTATCTCTTCGTGGTCTGATATCTTCAAATTTCATTAGAGTACAATTAGTTTGTTTTTTCTGCACTTACAGAAAAACGCTATATTTCTACTATAAAATTGTGCAATGTGTTACGTTTAAATCAATATTTAAGTCTGAAAACGTCTAATAAAGTTCATTTCAGAGGGGGATTACGATTTTCTCTTTCAATGCATATTTTTTTAGACTTTTAATGTTATAAAAAAAGCACCTATGATTACTTAGTTCAGCTCTTACCTTTACCTAATCTTTACTTTCTGTACTATAATTAATCAAAACAAATAAACACAAATTTAAAGCCACTAAAACAAACTTCGTGGTGACAAAAATTTAAATATAACCGTAAGTCCTTTTTCAAAGCAAAAGGTTATTTTTATTTCCACACGATTATCAACAGTGTTCTTTAACCAAATTTTTTTTAATCATTATTTTCTTTATATTAATTATTATATTAACTGAATAAAAGCATTAACAACAATTATGGATTATATTTAGAGTCTGGGTTAATTAAGCTTGTGTGACTTGGCTCTTTACATAGAGCGTGTAAGCATGGCGCTTAATTTAAGAATGTTTCTTGGGCACAGTAGAGAGTTTCTGGGTTCCCTGTTTGCTTCTGGAGGACGAGGGTTTTTTTATGTATATAGCTCTGTTTTGTGTATGTATTTATTAGTGTGAGGGCCTGATGGTGGTCGAAACTATTTATAAAAGTACCCCATCGACCTTAATTTAGGTTAGATTAATAATATTGTGTGTGGCTCGATGACTAATGAGTGCAATGTACATTAATGAATGTATTTATTTGTGAGACTGAATTGTAAAAGTTAGTTTTAGGCTTGATTATAGTTTGCACGCTTTGGGGCTGAACTGACCTCGCTGTCGAAAGCTACTTTGGAACTGTGAAGCGACGATGGGCATATGAGTTAAGGGAGATACGAGCGACCCCATCGGGGAATGACAACCCTTCGGGGTGAAAGTCCAATGTGGGTTAATTATATAATATAGTATGCCTCAAGGGAGCATTCTAAGCCTACTATTATTTCTGCTGTTGGTTAATGACCGCCCCCAACATTAATGCCTCTGATACAACTTCGCTGAGGACTCGTGGTTCTACTGAAATATTTGATAGAGTCAATCAAGCAAATTGTTTTGCCACGGACATGCTTGACCTGAATCATTCTAAATTATTGTGTGTAATCTTTAGAAGGACAAGTACTCGTAGCATTCAAATTAAATATAACATGAGGTTTTTCACACTTCACTACAGCCTTCGTTTTGTCTGTCACATAACCCTCTTGCCGGGTAAACTGACTGCTGCGTGATTTGGACTTGAAAATACACCAGTCTCAACTGTTAACAGACCTGTTTTGCCGTTATTTTGTCTCATAAGGATTAGCTCTGAACAAAGCGATGGGACTATTTCATATGGTATTCTTAGTTTAAAAGAGAGCTGTGAAAATGCCTGGAATACAAAGTCGGCTATTTCTTAAAGTTTAAACAGATCAATGCAATTAGTTCATTACAATTGCTGCAGTGCACTAAATACTGGCTGCAACCACAAATTTAAGTTTAAAACTCTTATCCCACGTATGTGTGTAGCACCACACTACTCGTTCTGAACAATCCAGTTTATACTCAATGTTTGAACGAATTTAATAAAATTAAAATAAAAATTCCATAGCTTGCTTCTTGAGTTAGAGCTGTATCATAATAATTATAATGTAACATAATTAAAGTATTATGAACCTTAGAACTTACGATAAATTTTACTTTGATGGCATAAAAAAAGATATCGATGAGGAATATCATCAAGTCTTATTTTTAAAAAATATGGATAGTTATTGGTAGATCAGGTTGGGTGTTATGTCCCAAAACAAATTTCATATCATAAATTATAAAATTCGTTAAATAAAATCGTACCATAAAAAATTAGTTTAAAATGTAATTTGTATGTGAAAAAGCGAAAAATACTTCTTGACATATTTATATATAGCACACATATAAATCATTGATAAAATGTTTTTACTTTGTGTTGTAATCCAAATACGGATTAAGGGGAAGAGGATGGGCTTAAGAATGATAAAAGTAAAAATTTGACGAATTTATCTATACTCGACCGTCTTAGGAATTTAAACGTTCCTCTTATGCGTATGGCATTTTTCTACGGTTCAAATCGCCGTAAATACGTGTGAATTTTGATCATGGTGGATTCCACTTGGATTAGTAATGCTTTATTTGGCATACTTAATCGGCCTCTTGACACCCACTCAAAACGAAGGGCGATGCGTAAGAAATCACCACACCCAAAATTTGGCCGATTAGAAAAAGATCAAAAATGTCCGAATTTTTTCCAATTTCTAACATATATAACAAATTATGATAATTTAAAATTGTATTTTTTAAAATTTCTCCTGCAAGAAGACTTTTCGCCAATTTAAAATTTACTTTATTTACTTTGAAATTTGTTTGGAAAAAAGTCTTGTATTTTAAGGAAAAGATTAATATTTACTTACCGAAGTATTAAAGCCGATGGTAACGACTCCTGTGAAGGACCCGTTATTTTCTAACGCTAACTCAACAGAGTAGTATTTTGGGCTAACCTGTTCGCTCAGGGGTTCAATGGGGTAAGAAACACATGCGGCCAAAAGGGCCAGAAAATGTAATAAAACGAGCAACATCGGTCTGAAAAAATAGCACGCTAATTTGTCTGACAACTGAGACTTAAATCGAATTTTTAAAATTTACAACATTCTACTTCGCCGTTTTACTTCTACTACTCTTTGGCCTGGGTCTGGCAGGTGAACTAATCTAATCAATTTTTATCCTTTATCTCAAAATTATTGATTCTTCATTATCTTTACTCTCCCCACTAATAACAACTTCACATTTTTTTCATCTAAATTGGTGTTAATAATGTAGAAGGAGCGTGGTCTGTCTATTAATAACTTCAATATTCGTCCCATTACAGTCATTTTTCCTTTCGGTAAAACCGTCCTTCTTAAATATACATCTCAGACATTTTTTTATAATTTATTATGGATAATAATTTGTCTTACGCAGTTTTATGCAATGTATATTTGTAATTAGCGACTGCTTCGCTCAGCGATGATGTTGGGGAGCGTGGGAGGATGTTGATAATTCTACACTTCCGGGGCAAAACTGGATAAGACAAAAAGCCCAATTTTAAAAGATTGCGATTTTTAAATTTAGCCTTTGGTACAAATTATTTTTACCTTTTTTTGAATTGTTTAACCTTATATCCCAAACGGGGTAGATCCCAATATACAACAGTTACACATATAAAAAAAAAAATACAGGGTGTCCTTTTTAGATGGCCCGGTTGAATTTCTGTTGAACCAATGACGTTATAAAAAAAAGTGTTTAATATTTTTTAGTCTAGTTTCAAATTTTTACCTTTTTTTGGAGAAAATATATATAAATATATGGAGAAATACCGAGGGGTTAAATGCCCCCCCCCCCCATTTATCTGGATCGTACGTATGGATCGTACCCCATCCCTAAAAGATCCGGGACTTGGTCGGCTCACGTGTCCTGCATAAACCTCTTGGACCTGTTCACAAACCCATGATTTTGGACCATTTAATCTCGGGGAGTGATTTGGTGATGTCCTCTCCTTCAAAAGTTTCAAATCTAGACCTTGCGTACCTATCACACTCTGCGAGGTAGTGCTTGCCGTTTCTTCTTTTATTTCGCAAAAACGGCAAAAAGGATCTGGTAGAATACCCATTACACAGAGGTGTCTTCTCAGTGGGCAGTGGTCTGATACTTATCAGCCTCCTGATTTCCTTCCTTGAGTTAAAGAATGACCATTTCGATTCTGCTGGTTTGATATCCTTAACAGTTCGAGTGCTGTGTCCGGGGGATAGATTCCATTCCTTAAGGAATTGTTTCATACCGCAGTTTTTAATACTCTCTTTCGCTGTGCTCATAGAGTGAGGTAATACCGGTTGTGGCCCGACAAACGCAGTATTAAAGCCTTCTTTGGCCAGGCTATCCACCTCTTCATTACCATAGTGTCCTTTATGTGCTGGTATCCGAATAAGGGTCACCTTATTCTCAAACCTGGAAGTGATTCTATTGATAAGATCTACAGTTTCCTCCACCAGTCTAGATGTTGACAAATCTTTTTGTTAGGGTGTCTTTTTTAGATAGGCGGGCCGAATTTCTCATGAACAGATAACATAATCGAAAAACCAAAAAATACGTATTTAATATTTTTAGTCTAGTTTTAATTTTTTACCTTTTTTAATTATTCGTTGTGAGATCTTCATACCTGTACAACTTTGAAATTGTAAATAAAAACGTACAATTTTTAGCCACTGTTTTAAAGGATTTCTTACACTGAATACGCAATCGATTTTAAATTGATCACAGAATAACAGTTATGGGCTATGGCACAGAATGTGAAAAGAAATATTTTATTTTCGTTTTTATTATTAAGTATTTTCATTTGCGGTTTTGACGCTTGTAGTCTGCTGGCAGTGGTTAATATTGTTTTTGTTAATAAAAGGTTACTTATTTTGAAAATGGTACTCTACATGTTTCGAAAATCAAGAACAACAAACAGGAATAAAGAGTTGTTCGAAACATGTATAGTACCTTTTTTTTAAATCCAGCCGGTTATTTACGAAAAACGGTACCCATAGCTACCAGACCAATCAAAATCATCCCATCAAATTCATAAGTATTTTTCATTAATATGTACAGCACTTTCATTGAATTTGAAGCGTAATTGCTCGTCATGCAGTCGAGTTGTACCCCAGAAATTTCCCAATCGCTCCCGGGTGAACCACAAATCGCCTGTTCGTGGTGCCCACAATATGCACAAATTAAAACTATTAGTGATATGCACGAACTTCAAGAAAATTTAACTCATTTTAGACTGTGGTGTGCTGATAATAGCTTAAAAATAAATGTAAATAAATTGTCATTTATTAGTTTCTCTCGCTCAAAAATCTCTACCCCCAACATCCTATCAATTAAATAACCTGGGGCATTAGAAAAGTCCTCAACCATTACTGATCTAGCTATAAACTTTAAAGATCTCTTATCCTTTCCATTCATAATAAAGCTATTAGTCAAGTAGGTTTAACACTCAAAAATTCTCTGGAAAAAGTTCCACATAAATTCTTCATGTATATCTTGTAAATTGCAATTTTAAAATAGATTATGTGTCAATGTGTGCCCTTTGCAATTTAGAAACACTAGCTTTTAGGAGAGATAAACGTAACGTTATTTCCTTACACAAATTTTTACAGAATCTTTCTTCTTTCAGAATTGGAATAAAACGGGGAGTCGAAATGAGAAGTTTGTGGCATGGGCGATCGAAGTCACGGTAGCTCAAGTGGTAGAGCAGGGGCGTATTTAGCCGAAAGTCGTCGGCTCGAATCCCGCGTGTGACACAATTTTTCATTTCGAGAAAATTTTGTATAATTAATTTAGAATCTTTCTTCATTCATTCACAAACAGTTACACTTATCATAATCCAATAGACAGAATTCAAAGAATATCTAATACATTGCCTGGTGAGTTCGATATTTTTCATACTTCTATGAATATTTTAAAACGTTTAAAACGTCATTAAAATGTTTATAATATTGTTAATCTCATTTATTCATTTTTGTCCATTATACTATTGTTCAATTATTATTTGTATTTAACTTCTGTTCATGTTGAACGGTACAGTCACTGGGTGAAAAATGCTTAAGCCGTTAATTATTGTAAATAAATTATAATGTCGGTGCCGGTTGAAATTAGGTGGTTGATAGTGCAATGTCATAATCATGGAAAATTGTTACGTAAAATTGAAAAAATTGTTCGTAAATATCAAGTCGACTGTACAAACAATCGTCCAGAATTACAAAACTGATGTCAGTTTGGAAAGCAAGCGCCGATCACCAGGCAGCCAAAGAAATTGGAGAGATATTGAAGACATATTAAACAGTCTATTATTGCCCCTGCGTTAGCTAGAGATCTTCAAAGGGATTATGACATTCTTCTCTTCTATTCTACATTCCAATTATTTTTATGCTATTTCATTTACATTTTTATTTGCATATTCATTTTGACACGGATTTTGCCAAGTTTTGTAGTTTTGTTGTTGTTCAATGGGGCCCAAAGCCCCAGAATAAAACTATTTTCTTCTTCTTCTTAAAAGGATAAAGGAACTCTTAAGTATGTAATACACAAATCTTCATTAGGCAGGTTTAGTTATCTGGTCTGCAATTCTATTTCCAGTGGTCTCGACGAGCACCCTGTGACCCATGAGGTTTTGTGGCCTTGTTCACTTCGCCTAATTTCATTTCTTCTATCAGAGGTAGATGTATGGTATTTTACAGATCAACAAGGGGTCCACGGTAACTTTAAAGATCGAGGCAATTTTTATTCTGGTGGCGTTTCTCGACTGCTCATCCATCTATTCGAGTGAGTTATTTTAGAGTTCTGGATTTGCACTTTCTACTGAATACCAAAATGTTCGTTCTACAAGTTTCCCATCTTTTGTGCCGTCAGTAAAAATTTTCAAGTCGAACTGCCCGTCTAAGGTTGATTTGGAGAGTACAAATCCGGTTTTAAACTTGTTGGGACTATCTACCTTCTAAGCCCTGAAATAGTTTTGGTTTATGTATCTGAACCAGATCCTGCTGTTGAAGACAATTGGCAGTACACTTGTAATTGTGATTGCATTGTAAGAGATTGTTTGGTATCCTTTAATAACCTCAAAATATGCTACTTTCTTTCTATTTTTCTTCATTTTCATAGCAGAGTGCCAAACCAACAATACATAAAGTAGTCTAAACACCAATTCGCTGTGATTTTTAGCACGTATAGACACACATTAACGTACTGACAGATGATCACATCTTAACTTTTGATCGGGGATAACGCCGATGTTCTGCGTGCGTGCTTGTGTGTGTGTGTGTGTGTGTGTGTGTGTGTGTGTGTGTGTGTGTGTGTGTGTGTGTGTGTGTGTGTGTGTGTGTTTTATAGCGTAACCTACGTGTTCTAATTGTCGCCTTTGTTAATAAATTTTCTCCTTTTATTATGGATGTTTAAACTTTCCTCAACTTTATTTGAATTTGTAAGTCACGTTAAAGGAAAAATTTGTATTTTTTCCTTTCATGTCATCCCCTAAACCGTTGCGGCCACGTCATTTGTATGTACGATTGTGTTAGTCATGCACATGACATAAGGCAAATTTATAGTCTCAATACTTCATACAGTCCATTATGTCATACAAATAAAACTAACTTTTTTCTAATTAGAGATGTTTTTATAATATTATATTTGAAAACTAGGTTTTTTGTTAATGTTTATTGTCCGTGTTGCGAATAGCAGGCCGATACCAGCAATAAAATTTGTAAATATTGACCTCAGAACTGATTACTCACCTATTGCAGCATTGGTATGAGTCACACGGCGACTTGCTAAAATTTGACACTGGTGAACTACTGATTAATTTGACAATGTTCCGCAGACCAAACTATAAATTAGATAGTTTTATACCCTTTTTAACGTGTCATCAGGAATTTTGTAAGTACAAGTGTTAAACTCATCCATTTGATGACAATTGATGAGACGTAAATATTATAATAAAAACACTACAACAAAAAACATCCAAATACAATAGAGAATACTCAATTAATTATACACAATTTTTTTCACAATGAAAAATTTGTGTCACAGGCGGGAGTCGAACCCACGACTTTTGGCTAAATACGCCGCTGCTCTACCACCACTACCGTGACTTCGATCGCCCATGCCACAAACTTCTCATTTCGACTACCCGATTTTATTCTAATTGTGGGTTCGAATCCCGCCTGTGACACAAATTTTTCATTTAAAAAAAAATTGTGTATAATTAATTGAGTATTTATATATTTAATAGAAGCTGATAAAATTTAGTAACAAGAGAGAATATTAACCTTGTTTTCCCAGTACGGAAATATGTTTATTTGTATCACTTGAATTAATTAGTTCTGTTCCAATGTCAATTAATTCTAAATATTGGCAAAACAGTACAAAATGAAGATTTTTGCTGTTTTATTTTATTCGACCAATGTTTCATGATATTAGATTTCAGGCTCATTGGAATGTTAAAAGAATTCGTGTTCAGATACCAATTGTTATTTTTAACATCCTCTTCTTATTCCATTTATCCTGTCCAACCAGAAGTTCCAACTATACACAGTTAAGCGAGAAGTACATATTTTTATTTTTAAAAACCTTAGCTTGAAAATTAGTGTGTTATTATTGATTGTCAAATCAATTTTGTTGAGACCCATAGCCTAGCTTATAAAACAAAGGAGATCTGAGGATCATGGTTTAAATAGTTCAATTCTCCACCACTTACCACTTAAGCGAGTTGCTCTTTCTTTTCCATCCTCAGGAGAACCTTTATGAAGGAAAACACTGTATAATCCTTAACTTTGTACCACTTGTTCAGTCACTTTCATTCAAGCATTAAATCTAATCATAGTTTTTCAACAGAGTAACAATAGACGTTCATGCCACTATTGAAAAAAGATTATGTACTGTTTTAGTATTGCTTGATTTTTTCAAATGCATTTGTATCAATCAACTATTACCTATTATTAACCAAGCTTCGCCAAAAATTTAATTTGATCTATACAACTTGTAAATTTTTTGTTTCATATCTGAGTAGCCGTTCACAAGATAATTGCAAACTCCAAAAGATCTAACACTGGCTTTATTATTTCTGGAGCTCTGCAGGGATCCATGTTAGGTCCTATTTTATTTTCCATGTACTTCAATGATATCTGTTCTATTATTATTACTAACTAGCTATTACTACCCTTTCATTCTGACTATATGCAGATGACTACAGTTATATGCCTCTGTCAGCAGGCATTAAGCATTAAAAATAATTTCTTAAATATTAATTCAACTAAAAGACAAGCAATTGTTGTCTATCACAAAAAAATCAATACCACTGATTTATGTAAGATTATTATCCAAAATATGGCAATTTCTTTTCTTCAATTCTGTAAAGAATCTTGGAATGATTGTTCCTCATAAATTGACGGTGACAAGCTTCAGGCTCTAAACATTTTCCCCTTCATTGCATTAACTGCACAAAATAGATACTTTTTTGACTGGATTGTCATAAGCAATCAATAAAGGATCCTGTGCAATAACACCCGGAGGATATCCCATTGATTGTCACCAAATGACCCTGCCCAATGACACGAAAACCCAATATTCACCAACAAAAAGATGTGATTTGTGTTTAGTGCAGTATGGCAGGCATCGTGCACTACAAATTCCCACCAGAACATCACAGGAGAAATCGGCTCAAGCAACGGATATCTCTTACCATAGCCCATGATTTTAAGCTGACATCTCACTCTCCTATCACACGACACATATTCATGTACTAATGGAAATAACTAGTTTGATAGTCTGTGGGGTACTCTACATTCTACCAGTCTATCAAATACATTCATACCAACAAAATACATAAAAGTATCTTTATGATCACGTTGTGCTTTAATATTTTAATATGTTGTCTAATTATTGCTGGAAATTGTTTAAACTATTAATTTATTTCATTCTAAATAAAGCATTGCTTATTGTTATTATTACCGATAATTTAGGTGCTAGTTTTTGTAAAGAAAATAAAAAGTTTTCTTACATAAACACTATGTATAGGTCTCTCCTACGAAGGACTTATTTTCTTTTTGAGTCAATGTTTACATACTACTCAGTTTCTTGAAACAAAAATTACGTTAGAGTATAAAACCAGGTTTTTTCACGATATTATGGGAGTATATATTACATATTCTGTAATACTTGAAAAACAAGATAAAGATGTCCTTGTCTATTTTTTCTTTTTTAAAATTACAAATGATTATTTGTGAAGGATCAAAAGATCAGTTTCTTATAGGCCTACCTACCAAGTTTGACTATTTATTGCGTATGATAAAGCTATAAACGCATGTGGTATTTACGTTATCCAAACTAAATTACTGGCATCTGGAAAGTTTTGAAGCCATTTACAATGGAAGAGCAAACAGTTATTATCCAGCAGTATTGATATGAATTATTGTTTGCTTACATTCAAAGAGTATAATTTAGGACAAAACTACATACAAAAAAATATATGCTACGTTAATTGATAAACTTACAATGATTAAATATATAGTCATTTTTAAAATTGAATAATTTATTTGAAAACTAACTGCAGTACAAAAATTAAAAAAAATTATTTTAATTATTTATGATAACACTACACTTTGAAGTTGCTTATTTATTGAGTTATTTAAGCAATCCTATTACGGTTTTTTTTTTTTTATTGATAAAGAAAAAATGTTGAGCCATATGGTAGGGAAACATTAAATTTATTGATATTCAAAATTCTAAAATGTGGTTCTTCGTATTTATGATACCTACAATCAGTGTACTGGCTGGTGAGGGTGAGAAAATAGTTGGAGGGCGAGCTGCATCACAGGGAGAGTTTCCTTTTGCAATTTGCTTGTATGGCAAAATACGCTGTGGAGGTACATTAGTAACTACTACAAAAGTGCTGACTGCATGCCATTGTTTCACAAGGGTACCAGGTTTTAACATTCAATGGATCAATGCAATTGGTGGGACAGTGAAACTTGTTAATGATGCTAAAGGAAGGCAAGAAAAAAGATTAAGTTCATATCAAACACATGAAGATTGCCATCAACAAAAGTCTACCGATGTCTACGCTAATGATATAGCTCTTGTAATAGTGGAAGAAGCATTTGTACTTTCTGATTCATTGAAAATAGCTACATTGCCCTCTTATGATGATAAAGAATTCAGGAAAATGTGGCAAAATATAGTGTCCTCAAAAAAAAGTTGTTACACAATGGGTTGGGGAAGGATTGATGAAGCAGAAACACAGCTAGGAGATATATTGAAAGTTCTTGAAGTGAAACCATGGACAGATAAAGAATGCAGTGCTATGACGAACGCAGGAGAAGATATGACTCACAGGGGAGAAGTATGTGCTTCTCCAATCACTGCAGGCGACCGTACAGCTAGTGGTGACTCTGGCAATGCGCTTTTTTGTGATGGTCATGTGTTTGGTTTGGTTAAAGGTGATTTTACTCTCGATACCAAACATGCATTGACATTTCAGCTATATTGGCCTTACATTAAATACTTTGGTCTTTCAAATGCATCATTATATGCAGCTCCATGTTCTATAATTCTCATATTCATTTCTGCCCAGCTTTTTACATAACAATACCACCAAAGTATTTGGTTTTAGTTTTTCGATTGAAAAATATATGACAAAAATTAATTTTTAAGGTTTAATCATGTGATAATTTTTTAATGGTACATTCTTTCTAAACTCAGTTAATTATATATTTTTTTAAATTAAATACAACCTTATGATAGGTTTAAAATGCAAACTTCAGACAAAGCAAAGTAGTATTTTAAGAATTCTAATCACATTGAATTTTAATCATTAAAATGAAAAGAAAAATTAAAGAATTGGTTTATACCAATTTAAGTATACATTTCAATGATAATTAAGTTATGGAAGTAGCAAAGCACTATTACTTTCTACTTGTATTATAAAAAAATAATGGTAAAATTGAAGAAAAAACACAAAGTAAACTAAATCTACAAATATATGTGCCATTACAAACTGAGAAGTGCTTAAAAAATGAAATATAGATCAATCTAATGACCAAGAATAAAAAAATAAATATATAAACTATGCATCATATTTTATATATTTGTTATTTTTTATTCTTGGTCGTTAGATTGATCTATAATTATGAAAAATAATGAAATGAATTATAGATTAATCTAACGACCAATCAGACGCATATCAAACCATGAATACATATATGAATGAAATATATATATATATATATATATATATAT